CCGTTCTGCAGTTTAGGCTACAAACTCTAACAAACATTCATCCATATAAACTTTCGTATTTATAATATTAGTGAGTAAGATTTGTGAATATCAACTTTTACTTTAGTTATATAGACATTTCGAAAAGATATAAAAATCAAATAACTACCACCTTGTACATTTACATATTACACAGTTGAGATCTTATCTCGAAGTAACGTATATTTACATATATAAATATTACTAAACAAGTAAATTAAAATACATACAAAAAATAAACTACTGAAGAATTATCGTGATCGAGTGTTTAATTAAGTCCATTGTTGCAATCTGAACAGTTTAAAACATTTTTTAAATAAAACAAAAGATTTTCCCGTTGTCACGTCATTCATTTTATCATTAAAAAAGCCTCATTAGTTGCATAATGAAAGTTGGCTTTTGTTCGTCTCGCAATCATCACACTGCTAAGCTGATATTAAAACTACAAGATAGGGTTGCCACTATTGTTCATATAATCTGTACTAATATAATAAAGCGTAAACACACACTTCTTTGTTGCCTAAGATCTCGCCAATTACAGCATATTTTTGAATACTAATATAATAAAGCGTAACAAACACTTCTTTATTGCTTAAGATGTCAGCAATTAAGGCATATTTTTGAATAATTCTTTCTTTAATAAAAAGCCCTACACTTACGACACACTTTAGGCTATTTATTTTAACGCCATTAAACTTAGGGAGTAAATAATTTGGATAAAAACCCTAATGTGGGAAAGAGACCATAAGTTGCTGCCAACATCAACGAAGCAAGATTGACATAGTAAGGTAAAAGGTATTTTGACATTTGCAATTGAAAATTTGACAAATGTAAACAGTAAAATAAATTTATAACTTCATGTGGATGAAGCCGCACGGGAACTGCTAGTATCTTCATAAAAATAAAAGAAAAATAACGCTAATACAACGGCTAGAATAGGAGGTAATATAATAGAATAGAACATAAGACTAATTAAGGTTTTATGGGTGTTTAGAATATCATTTATCTATTTCAGTTATTATTCTGTACTTTATGACTTTTCAAAAGCCGATAGAATAAGGATGTATTGGTAATTCGTGTCTCAGAATCCTGGACTGGGTTATTAAAATAATTGGTGCAGTCATTGTTCAACCATTACACACCTAATGACTGTTATTACTGAGCTATTCCGTTATGTACTCAATACAACCATGTAAATACTCTAGGACCTTGACCTATTTACATTGAACTTTTTTAATTCATCTTTTAAAGTACTTACGACCCTAAATTTAGTTGGAGCAATTATTATGTTAATTTGTTTTTTTTATTTGTCATAAAGATTTTCAACGTAAATAAGTGGTGAATAATGGTTTTTAAAATCTGGCTGGATTCTGGATTAAATGCAAAAGTGGAAATTTGGATTCCTGTTACTGACACAGCTGTAGAAAACAGTCTGGATATTTACTATTTACTTTTTTATTCCTTTTCCTTTATACAATAAAAATACAGCCAGACTTTTTCGATACTTTCAAATCGATTTTATCGCAGACGGCTTATTGTTATATCGATTAAAATAATGCGTACATTGACCTGTCTACACTTTTATTTATTACAGACGATTTTGATGGTTCTATTAAAAATGTTGTTTATGATTCATAATATTTGTTTAATACTAGCCGCCGCGACTTCTACCGCGTAAAAAAAAAGTAAGTAGCCTGTGTTTTTTTTTAATAAGAAAAGATGGCAAACGAGCAGCGGGAACACAGAGGTGGTCAACGACGCCTATATCTATACTATTCTCTACATCTATGCCTACTTTCATCAAGATCCGTCCAGCAGTTTAGGATACTAACAAACAGCCATCCATCTAAACTTTTGCTTTTTTAATAGCAAGAAGTAAGATTTAGATATGTAAGTACTCGCTAATAAGTCAATGTTTAATTTTTAGTAAACAATTCACACATGCCAAGTGCAATAAAAACAATGTTGATCGTCTTTTATTCACGTATTAATTCTCGTTAATATTTTAAATAACGCATTATTGATACGGTGTTAACCATTAAAACTCAAGTGGGGTAACGACCTTTTGTTATTGACATGTAGTCCAGGAATTAAATTAGCTTCCCACTTGAGATCAAATACAGAAAACTCAACATAAGTCCAGGCGCATATCTTTGACTACACATTGCAAGCAATAGTGGATTGTTTCGCAGCTAATTCAATTGTTTAGTTGCAAAGCTAAAAATCGAATAGCGCACCTACTTATGAGCTCATAGATATTGAACCGAGACGAAACAGTTGTGCGATAGTTTAGTAAAAGGTTTGCGCGTGCTTTTAGAGTTATAATTTGCTATGTACGCTACTGTGCCACATTTCGACCATATTGCTTTTAAAGTGTCAAATGATATTTCACCGAAGTGGGTAGGAAATAAACGTCCTCTGTCTGTCATTTGTTTGGTAAATATTTTGATATTCATCGGCCATTAGCCGAGCCATCCCCTCGTTAACTCTGCAAGTTGATATGTTTTTTAGTATACATCCCAAACGTACGTACCGGACGGTAAATATCCGTTACCGATCGGTATTCCACTGTTGTGGTATTTTCTGGAACCGAAACCATTCTTGATGTGTATTGTATTAAAATACCAGATACCAACTTCGTTTATATTCAACAAGAAAGATTTGTTCGACGTATCGTGAACATTAAAATGAAGTCTATAATAAATTAGCTATTGCACGTGACTTTGCCCGCGTGAAATTAAAAAATATAGCCTATTTTACTCAAAGATAAGCTACCTTTCTAACGGTGAAAGAATTTTCAAAATCGGCTTAGTAGTTTTTACGTGGATCGAATACATACAAAAGTACAAATCTTTCCTCTTTATATTAATAGTATAGATATGGACGAATTCATTCGATATTCAATTTGGCGAGACTATCAATTTGCTTATTAAAAACGGACGGATTTCAAAATTTGTCGGTTACATAATACAAAAAATAAGTAAATCCTTCATACATATAAAACGTTCTTGTACAGTCAGCTACATAAATATTAATATTTATTCATAAGTTTCTTACAAAAACATCCGTGTTTCTTTTAGTTTGAAAATCTGCAATAACGAATAAATAGGTATTTTTAACTATAGGCACAAGTATCTAAAGCTTATAGACATTTATGCAGCTGTCTGTACCGAGTTATATCCGTGTTAAAATAATTATTGATTATTTCATAGAGGCAATGCAACTGTAACGATTATAATTACGTAACTGCGACTTCTTTCACATCCTATACTGCGCAAGATCCTTGAAGTAACCAGTTACCGGACCCGGATTCGGTTACATTAGCTATTCCAATCGTGAACTATGAAAATCCGTCCGGAATTATGCATACGCACCAACATAATACACGCTTTGGTTATATATACTCGTAAACATTCGTATATTTATTCAATAAAGTAGACAACACATACAAAACCGAGTAGATAAACGTAGTAAATGCGTACACTTTCCTTAGCTGAGTACTCGATAAATTAAAATAGCTTATGTTATCATCAATACCGGTTTAAGCCCTATTAGCACCCTAGGCAAGACCTTTGTGACCCCTTTTTTAACAGCTTCTCTCTCTCTCTCTCTCTCTCATCTATACTAAATCCACTAGTATGCAACGGAAGGCTGCCTTTGATTAGTGAGTAGTCATACTTCATACTATCACATTCATACTTTCATACTAACATTATAAATGCTATATGATGTTTATATGATGGATGTTTGTTAGAGTTTGTAGCCCAAAAAGCTCAGCGAATTTTGATAATAATTGGTATAGATATAGAAGATAGTTTGGAAGAACACTGACTTTTGTTTTTTTTAAATTCCACGCGGACGGAGTCGCGGGCGAAAATGAGTAGTTCTTAAAGGTTTATGTCTATATGATTGAATTGCTGTGTTTCTGTATGTTACCTTGGGGATGCATGTTCTCATGGCAGACGGGGCAGTTGACGGGCATACGGGCCTCTGAGATCTCGATGGCGAGGTACTGACGCAGGCAGGACTCGCAGCAGCGGTGCGAACACCACGCCAGCCGCACCATAAGGCCGCGGTTGAACATGGACAGGCAGAGAGGACATTCCACCGCCTCGGCGCGCTGCGGACAACAAGGTTCATATTTAGTTTGTGGAGACATACGAGTTACAGGATTTGACAATGCATAAACACTATATCGAAAGTAAAAGATTTAGAGGTGCAATATAAATTCCTTTTTGCTCCACTCAATGTATAAAACTGCATCATGATTTAAGGCATTTTATAGACTAACATAATTCAATATCATACTAATACTAATATTATAAATGCGAAAGTTTAGATGGATAGATGTTTGTTAGAGTTTGTAGCCTAAACAGCTGAAGGGATCTCGATGAAATTTGGCATAGATGTAGAGGATAGTCTGGAAGAACATGTTTTTCTTTGGCATAGATGTAGAGGATAGTCTGGAAGAACATGTTTTTCTTTAATTCCACGCGGACCGAGGCGCGGGCTGAAGCTAGTAATATATAATTAATTTAAAAAGATCACATTTACACCTATTATGTTTATTCCATTACTCTCCTCCACGTTGATAAATAATTCATTAGGTCTACACATTTTTTAGCTCGGATTATCATATTTGATACTTCACAGATATTCATTGCAGTTGACCGTTGAGTTGATAAGTCCATGTCTTAAAGGAGCAAAGGCATCGATCGACTGCTGTAGGTAGCTATTACTGCTTCACTGCTTGAATAATGTATGGTTTGAAGACAACCACATAGTCAATTAATTTTTAATTTAAATGAAAACTAATGAAAAAGAGCACTTAGCTACGTGGGAAAGCTTACTGAAGTTAATAGAGAATTTTGAAGGATCTTTATAAAAAGCATTAAAAATGAAAAAACTCAAACCGCCTTTTAGCTACGAGTTGTATTTTAACTTTACCCGCTACAAGACAATTCAATTTACAAAGTTAATAAATTGAGTCCGCGAACTTTAGAGAAATACAATTTTCACTGAATTTCAGTTCAACTGTGCCAACTCGTTTGCTCTATTTCTTATTTTCGGTTATTTATTTGCGTACGTAATCGTGTATTTGTTTTGCAGAACCATTTGCAAGAAACGTATTGTTTCTTTGAGAATTTTAGTTGTATTTAAAAACAAAGTAGATGTGTTTTTACTTTAGTTTCCCTCTACTTTTTTAGGAATAAACAATCTCATTACTTTCTTATTTATATTGCCATATTTTTATTTTAGGAATCGATATTCTTGCTTTATATTTATAGATTGAATTGTTTGTGTAGAGCACGCCGTGCCGAGGACAGGTAACTGGGCCAACGCAGGGCATCCCGGACGTCCTATTTATTACCGCTGTTTTATATTCAAAACATTTCAATTTTCTATCAATTTTCCAATACTTCGGACTCGATTATTCGAGCATAATATAAAATATTAATTACGTCAACATTATTTCAATTGACTTTCTAGAAAAATTTAAAACCTGAAAGTTAATCGGAGAAATTACTTTGATATGAACATGTAATTTTATAGTCAGTCCAATCTTAGTAATCTAAGATTTTTGTAACATGGCAACACATTCTAAACTTAAAAAATGTGACCAATCTAACATTTCATGGTATTTAATTTCATTAATAGAAATAAAAATTAAAATATAAAACTCTGCTTTCATTCAATGAACAGATTTCAAAAACAAAATACTTATGAGGGCTATAGAAAATAAAAAGAATATGAATAAGGAAAACGGCTCATTATTTTGTAAAATATGACAAAAAATGGCACTCCCAAAAGTTGAATGACGACAAGAATGTCACCATATAAATCAAAATGACATCATCAATGACACATGATACGCAGTTCCCATATTCAAGAACATTGAGAAGTAACTAAGAAACTAGGCAATATCAAATTTATAGTCATATATGTAAAATTCTACAAATCTTATTAAAAAAAAACACAAACATACTGACCGTACTCTTATGACACCCTGAGGAAGAAATGATTGGACCTTTACGTCAAAATTCGGCGAAGTTTACATTGTAGGAAATTATGAAACAACAGTCTTGGATAAACATTGGACAAAGATAGATTATCAGCTCATATCAGATTTTTATTCCACGCAGACGAAGTCGGGCAACAGCTTGTAGTACTCTACACATAGCTCATCTCTAACCCTCCGTCTGTCGGATAAAAAAGTAACTATCTCCCGTCTTGGAACTAATGACCTTTCAATAGACCACCAAGTGGAACAAAGAACACCCGTGGGCAGATGTGTCAACGACACAGGAAAGGGGGGTCGCGTCTGAGATTGTATGGTAATGGGGTGATCAGGGACGTCTAGACGCGGGCGGGTATTGCAGCAGCAATGTAACACCCCTGCTCTGCATTACAATTGCTAAAGGGAGGAGAACTCTTTACAATTAACATCGAAATGAAAATACCGGTTTTATTAAAATCGTGAAAAAATTAATACAGAACATACATTTTACTGCCAATCACATTAGGAAGTAATTCTCAATTGATGTGGAAATTTCATTACGAAATAAATAAATAAATTAACTTATTAAGTATCTACTTTTAATATGGACATTCTCTATGGCACGAAAGATTGATTATTGTATATTGTAAAAGATTTGAAATAAAATTATTTTTAACGAAGACGTGTGTATTGGTAAAATATATACAGAAAAAGACATAGAAAATACGATGACAATGTGTTCTAATTTCAAATAATTTAAATTCTTTTCTTTTTCTTTTCTAATGGCTTGAGATCTAAAAACATGTAAAAACTCCTTGAACACACTCGGCCAGATAGTATTTATATTTACCAAACTACTGACAAATTATGTTTTTCTCTCCTTCAACAACACATTTCTTTACTCTCCATTAAAATTATCAACAAAACCTATATAATACCATTGAAACCTCTATTTAAAAATAAAAAAGAATCCATATTTCCTTTCCTTTTTTACGAAATAAAAAAACAATTACATTTCGATTTAATTTAGCATCTATATAGAACACAGTCGGAAAAAGTCACAGGAAAAAGCTTGTAATAAATGTAAACCAGTAGCATAAAACAGTGTATGGTCTACATAGCATAGCAGATTATCAATTATGCGATAAGATTATGCGACCTGCTGACATAAACATGCGCTGGAAATGCAAATCAAAGATTAAATATAAAAGTCAATTTCCACTAACAAAACACATGTACAATATATTGCTATCTCAATTTACCCAAAGAGAATGAGAAAGATGACAATGTTTTATAAAGGTTTCTTCGACAGTGGAAATTTACGGGTAGTCGTAACTCCTAGGTAATCAATTTGTATTGAAAACAATACGCTCGTAAACCATGTTTATTGACACGTTTAATGGATTATTGAATTAATTCAAAGTAAACGTAGGTTACACTAGCTTAATATCAATGAAAAAACTTACTGTTACATAATTTATTTGATTACTAGCTGTTGCTCGTGACTTCGTCCCCGTGAACAAAAAATAGCCTATGTTACTCACTGATAACCTAGCTTCTTAATGGTGAAAGAATTTTTTAAATCGACCCAGTAGTTTTTGAGTTATTTCATTACATACAAAAATCCAAATCTTTCCTCTTTATTACATTAGTATAGTTTAACGAAAGGGATGTTAACCAAATCATGATGCTATCTTTACTTGTCGAGTGAATCTATCTAAGATTACTATACTAAAAGTAAAGTGGTAACTAAAAACGAATTAAACATACTTTTCCCTTCCACTTACCGAAGACGATTCTCACCAATATTCATAATCCCTTCAATTACTAAGTTTTAATTCCAATCTCAAACAGTGGATTAAAAACCATGAACGCTATGGAATTTAAATCGAGCGGATCCCTTGATCCCGACACGACTAGCCGGTAGTTGATATATGTATGTTTGTCGGCGGGGAATCCATACCTCCGTGTCAATGACTCTGAGAGATCACGGCTATAGCTTCAGCATAGTGGCTGTTATTCAACGGATAAGCCACCGACCGCTCGTAAATACTGCCCGTTAATAACTTGTCTAGGCATTGCGTCGAAAAATTACAATTATATCTCTATTTCTAAGAGTATACATTTAAAACTTGTCTTGAACAATACAAAAATCAGACTAAACTAAATGTAGAGGTTCATAAAACGATATAGAAATAGACTGCTGTAGACACGACATGGAAATAAATTACATTCTGTACTGTAATAAATTATTTCTGTCATTAAAATCTGTGTAGCAAGTCTGTGATAAATAGCACATCAGGAGCGCCATCTTGTAGTCAGAATTTGACACTATTAACTGTTTGTATCTGCAAAAACCAGGCCACAAACACGTCCTCTTTTTTGAAAAAAAAAAGTTTTTGTATAGATATTAAAACGTAGTGAGTTAGGTCTCGTATAAAATTAGCTAATCGCTTCTCGCCTCTTTGGGTCACAGACATGCATTAATGCGTAATCAGAAGTTACACGGAACATGCAATCGTCAAGGAGAAAGGGGGCCCGATTACGACACGTGTAGGCGAGCCGGTCGTCGCAGTACAGGTTCATATATTAAAAACACAATATCCTGTTTAAATACAATATTAAGAGGTCTTAGACGTTTTTTGGGTTACCTCTATTCTACAAGTAAATTCTACATTCAGCTATATTTTTATACTGTAACTTTTAGTACTGATTTTTAAAAACAACGTAGTAGTTACATAACTTTAAACTCTTGTAATAGGGATTGATAACAGCACTGACCTGACTAATTTAAACAGCTTTTAGTTTACTTCATTAATTAGGTCTTATCGTCGACCTAGTGCTTAACGCGGCTTCTCTACTCTCGTCTTAATTGCTTTCAAGATGGCGGTGATATTATTTAATTAAATTCTCATAGTTTTATTCACGTTTTTCGCGTTACATTACGCGATCACAGCATTTACATACATACGAGTACATATAGAAGAACTAGTTTCTATCCGTTCGTAATAATACAAGTGACCACGTAACTAAAATCTAAGTTTCACCGTCAACCAGTTCTATGAGCGGACACCATAACATTGCCCAACTGTGACGAATAGTTTATCCATGCGTAATTTAGGGTTGTCAATTTCTTTTTATTAAATTGACAACATTAGTAAAACCTTGACATGCGAAATGATATGGCCATTTTAAACAATTTAGAATCCTTCTCAAGTCTGTATTTACGTTTTACATTAGTATTATAGTGCTCTATGCCTTCTACGTATTTAACATCACTACTATTAAACTTTTGTTAGGTACTGTGATAAAATTTATTAAAAAGTTACGTTAAGTAAAGTTACGACCTTTAGTTCAGTATTGTTATCGCTTCCTAATAATGAATAGATAATGAGTCTCCAACTCCTTTAATAATAAATGTGAGTGTGGCAACCCTATTGCTGTCAGGATAATAACAATCGATCGTCTAACACCAAACGGTAAGCATAATTATGTGATCTTGTAACACACGCTTTGCATACTTGAAACGGAAAAAGTAGAAAGTGATGTTAATACGTAAGGCATAACAAGGACTTAGCTGCGAGTAACCGTGGATTTACACTGTAGAAAAACTTGAATAAGACATATCGTCATCACTTTCATTCTCTTTGGAAAACAGAGACAACAATACATTTTAAATACAAGTGTATTGAGCGCAGTATAGTTGTAAAAAAGTTCTTGTAATTGTTTTTCGACAAGACATGTCTAAAACAAGAACAATAAGAACTAGAGCAGGCGCACCCGTACTAAACTGTCGCACAATAGTTGTACTATTGTCGATTGTTTCGCAGCCCAATCAACTGTTTAGTTGTACAACGAAAAATGGAGTAGTGAGCACCTCCATATAAGCTCATAGAAATTAAAGCGCGACAAAACTGTTATGCGATAATTTAGTCAAAGATGGACGCGCGCTCTTACGTATGACTATTTTTATTTTACGATAATGATCTGTGCGTTACGTTAAGATAGATTTTATCATCTTTGAAAACAAATGCAGAAATATTTACGAAATTTGTATAGGTATGACGTCAGCAAAAATATTAGCAGATAAAAAGAACGAATTACACTAAGTAACGCAACAGTTTACAACAATGAAGCTTTTAGTGCTAGCTTTTAAGTTGATTAGGTTTTAAGTATTTGGTTTAACAATGGTATGAGAGCAGCAACTACAAACATTTATTTATATTTGCAACTTAGGCGTATTTTAAAAAAGTCCTATTTTCCAAAAATAAAAATAAAACTTAAGTAAATAGACCCTTTAAGAATTTCATTAATCACGGACTGGCATAAAAGAAAACCGGTGACATTCAAATTCGTAATTCCTATTTTTCAAAACTAAAGATATAATTAAAGTAAATAGACCCTTTAAAAATTACAATAATCACGGACTGGCATAAAAGAAAACCGGTGACATTTAAATTCGTAATTATTTTAAAAATGAATATTTAAATACCATTGGTAATGCTCTACAAGTGCGCTGGACCGAGACGGGTCAATGAATCGATGTTTTTGTTTGAGATTCGATGTAAAATCGTTTCGCATGGAAATAGGATTAGTTTGTAAGTCATTCTCACGAGGTCGAAATAATTTAAGGTTATTCACATCCGATTGTACAAAAAGTATTCAAATCAAACTGCAGAATTTTTTTGTTATAAAATAAAGGTATCGAAACTTTCTCTAGTCTCAATAACTTTTCTTTCTTTCAATTCTCTCATCGTATCTTTTTAATCCATTTATTTCACACTTAACCAATCTATATCATTTAGATCTGTCTCTCCCTTCTTAAATAACTATATCGATATCTATGTCAAGATGAACTGTAAAATTGTGGGCACACTCGGAATAAAGGAGCACAGTGCAATAAATATCAGAGAAACCATTACCAGTTCATCTTCGGTGACCACTCGTACTACGAACTGTCTGATCTGTGCGGGAGGTTCTGGGGCGGTCTGCTTCGACGGCCGCGCGTCGCCTTGGTCCAACACTGCAACAATAATAACATTTGTTCACATTTACGTGAATGCAATACAAACAGCAATGTATGGTAAGAAATTCAGAATGTCACAGTCAACAGATCAATGTTGATTCAGTAATAGATAAATGTTTAAATTGAATTATAACGTGTTTAATATGATTGACATAAATAAATTGGAAGTTCTTTCAAATATCATTCAAACAAACATAGAAGAATAGATTTAATTAATATTAGATTTTCTAGACGAAAGGCACTTGAATAAATAACAAAATATAACGTAACTTAGTTTTTGATGTTTGTGTTGACAATGTGTTTGGCCAACAAGACAAGACAATATTAAGATAATAACAAATATGTTAGTATTGGTGGCAAGAACTAATGTATTAGATGTTATCCTTCTTTTTGGTTTCTCAGATATCAAGATTTAAACAAAAACAAAACTTAAAGCGAATTAATCTCAACTGAGACGTCAGAGTTATTTTTTTGTTTAAAATTTATTCTTGAAGTTTCAGAATAATTAGTCTTTAAACTTAGTTTTATATCGTTTTATATGCAGCGCAATAACTTGATAAATAAGTTCGTCTAACATAAACGTGAACAGCACTGAAATAGGTTGTTTAAAATTTAAAATTAAAGCGGTTGAATTTGGGCTAGAATCTCGCTAAGAATGGTGGAATATCTGGCGAGATCAAATACTGCATGCGATGTAAGATGTGCAAATTTAAATAGCCTATATTCCTGTTATAGTACTAGTACATAGTTATAGTTCCTGTATAGTTTGTATAACATAGATTCATGAGTGTACTGCCGTTTTTTAAACCGATCTCTAGCCTGAAGTCATTGGTCTCACCATCACTATTGGTATTTTTTTTCGTTACTTTTTCTTTGTTAAATATACGCACTACAAAAACTAATTAGTCAGAATCTAATTAGCTCCTTGACCGAATTCAGAAGGTTTTTGGCAATTGTTAAAAACATTAAGTAAGAACGTAACGCTCTGATAATTTGTACAATTTTATTCGGTCGTAACCTTTCACAAATCATCCAACAGAAACAAAATAATTGACAAACCAATTAAAACGTCTATAATTTGAAATAACGGATACATGAAATTAATAACTAAGTTTAAAAGTTGAGTTTTGCTGCCAGAACAGTACTTCTTGTCAAAAGTTTTATTCATCACTGACCAAAAGTAGTCCAAACAGACACTGGGAATCCATGGCAAAGATGTCCCACTAGCAGAAAAGTGGGGGTCACAAGTTGAAAATAGAAATGGGTACAATAAAACCGGTGAATTTAAAGAGTACACGAGAAAAAATGTGGATCACTGTTCTACATCCAGCCAAGAAAAAAGAAAGAAAAGACCAGTTGCTTTTAATATTCTTCTTTGCTTAACATTTATAATGCTTCTTTATTGAAACTAAAGCTAAACATAGATATATGATTATCATAATGTTATCTATCTATACTTCAAGATAACATAACACGGTAGTTTGTATGAGTATGCAAACAGTATTAACATCTTGGCTTATGCATTACCTATCGCATGCATTTGCTTAAGATTGCAGCAGCATTATTTTCATTGTAATAAAATATAATTTTATTTAATGAGTATTTACTGCTACATCATTATGTTTACTTAAGTGGTTTTCTTTTTAATCTCACCAAGTCTATTTGTTATCTTAAAGATAATTTTCAATATACTCTGACGTTATAATTGTCCAGCCTTATCTTCAGATTATTCAACAATCAAGCAATTGGGTATATAGTATTTCGCTAAGACATATTTTGAATTGTATAGACGTATTGCAGTAAATAATTATAAAACACTAGCTGTTCCCGTATGGCTTCATCCGCATGAAATTATAAAAACTTCATTTTATTGTTTACATTTGTGAAATGTCAAAATTCAAATGTATAATATATGACAACCTTGCTTCCTTGATGTTGTCAGCTTGTAGTTTATGGTCTCTTTTCACATGAAGGTTTATTTTCCTATTTAACCCCTAAGTTTAACAGCGTTAAAATATATAGACTTCAGCGTGTCGTAAATAAGGCTTTTTAATAAAAAAAAGAATTATTGACATCCAAGTAGTGTGTCTACGCTTTATTATATTAATATAGATTATGTTATTACTACCACACTACTAAGCATGAACAATGAGTCAAAATGCCATAGCAATCTTCTAGCCTGTTTTAAATCGTTGAAACTTCACTGAATAGTTGAAAAACAAATAAATCGAAAAAACTATGGTAATTCCTTTGCAAGTTGCCGCCACGGCGTTATTTAAAGTAGGTTACATTTTGGAATAACCCCAGTTAGTTACTGCTAGGTTCTTTTAAACAGGAAGACTGTAAGGAGTGATTCGTGTCGGAAAACCCAAGATTGAACTCTATGCCGTCATAATTTTGTTTATTTCATTACAATTAGGTAAATTATTTTATTTATTTACAATATATGAAAATATATTTAGAAAAAAAAATTAAAAACAATGTTACCTTTAAGTTTCAATGAAAGAACTGTACAAAGCCGGTTTTGTTAAATGTTATGAAAGAGACATCTGCATCTCTCGAAAAGTTAAGGACCTCTTTCTGTGGAAGGCGTTAGAGAAGGCCTTTGTACAGTGGGCAGATAAAGTTTGATGATGAACTGTAACTCGTATATCCGCTGTGGAAACCTACGTTTAATATATGAACATCTAGAAGACCTGATACACTACTAGTAGATGCAGTAATTTATCTGCATCACAACAAGCAAAGTTATTTATAGTGAGTAATTTCCGTTCGCTCGTGCTGAGCTGAGAAATCACTGGCTGCATCCACGTGACTTGCCAAAGCTAATACCTTCGTATCGAGTTAAATGATTTTTTACTTCTGGTATTTTACAATGCTGTTTTCGACATATATCATTTTTGTTTCCAACTATTCTTTGACAAACGTGTGACATGCCTAGACATTTTGAGAATACCTATTTACGGGGACTTTCCCGTAGACAAAACTTCTTGACCACACAATAAGCAATTCATTATTTATATTATTACACACAAATAATTGTCTTACTTTGTCTACAATATTAGTATGTTCATGTTTTTATATGTTTATATCATCATTGTCTCTAGTTTACTCTATTTGAGATCGAAGCACCAGTTTTTTACCTACAAGACCCATCTATCTTTCATCTGTGTCAATCGCACGTCTTAGTTATGTCATATTTAACGTTCATACATGTTCCTAGGCCTACCACTACAGATACAAAACCCATCATATTTATATTTCCGGATATAAAATTAAATGTTTTACAATTTCATAATCGATTCTAATGTTTTAGTCTCATCAGATTAACGGTTCTAAATTCCGAACACTTCATCTATTTTCGTGATGTGTCAATGCACTAGCTGGCAAACATTCAACTTTACAACACGCTAAAAACGAGCCATCATTTTATTCGATGTAAAAGATTTAAAAATCGATTTAAAAATAATTGTTGGGTGAAACGCTATTTGTTTTAAGCGCCATTAGGTAAAATGTTCGCCAGAGCCATTTTAAGTCTTCATTAAAAAAAAAACATAAAAGCACATGCCGAAAATAATTTCAATTGAAAGATTTTCAGACCGGTTCTAGATTAAAATTACTATATTTCTTCATACTTCATTATTTATTTCATATTTTAAATTCTGAATATATCAGTCAATATCGCGTAAAATGGCGGTTGAAACAAATAGCCTATCACCCGTATGTTCTTGAGGACAAAAGCCTTCAGAACTATTCCTTTTGGACAGTGGAGGACTAATGCAGAAAACAAAAGAATGGGAAAACGAGCAGTTAGATGTTGAAGAAAAATATAATTGAAAGTTTACTTTAAAATTAAAGCATTATACATGTTCATAATACTTTAACAGTATGTATTCTTTTATTGCATAAGTAAAATTTCTTTTTTCCGTATAAATTAAAAATATTAATCACAAATATCAACGTCTCTTGTCCACGTGATTTGTTACGAGAATTAACGTGTCTCCTGCACGTGAATCGGATGACGGGAAAATTAAATACTATACATAAAAGCACACAGGAAAATAAAACAATTTAATTAGGATAAAAACAAACTGAGTAAATTCGAAAAACCCAAGCTATAATAAACCCCTGTGTATTAAGTGCATGTACGAATGTGAAAAAGCGAAAGGTGTGAGGCAGTCCATAATCAACTACCCCTCTGTGTTACAGCCGTGATTGTGAAATTTTACAGTGCCATTTTTTTACCAAATAAGTTTCGGTCCACGAGTAGAAAGTTGACAGGAACAAATATTGACAAAATTAACTTTCATTTGTGACGAATTTTGCATAATAATTTTGAACAAAGGCGAAATGAAAACGATGTCAAAAGTTGTCAAGATGTAGACAGAGTGACGTGTAGATGGCAGCTGTAGCGTCACAGCCCTGAGGGAGGAGTGCTCTTTATCACTTGCGACGGAAAACACTTTCAGTGTTCTGTTCAATTACCCTTTGTTATAACAAGTTGAAAAATTTATTGGGAAAATATTCAACCTGATATTTTACAGTGGTAGTGCCCGCTTTAACATCTTAGCAAGAATGGGCCGGCACGCCCGGAGTAATACCACGACCACACAGAAGACAGGCGTGAAGTGGAAGCAATTCCGTGTTTCGTCTGATGAGTGTGGTGCCGGAGGCCTAATTTATGTCCCTTTCCCTTTACCACCCTTTTCTTATAAAGAGAGGATGGGAAGGGGAAGTGGATTTGACGGTGGAAGAGATGCATAGGAAGGGGAAATATCCTCTTTATATGCGTCTCCTCCTCCGTCGTATAAGGGTAGGCAACGCATCTGCAATTGCGGATGTCTATGGGCAGCGGTCGCTTCGCCATTTTGGCGGATTCAGGTGGCCGCTTGCTCGTTTGCCACCTTATGTTATAAAAAAAACCCTTCTAACGCTCTAGCTACTAATAAAGATTTTCTGCCACAGAAACATATGCTTAGAAAGCAGACCCTTAAGTG